CCGACTCTGGCCTAGTTTGGATCATATGGGAGAGAGAACTTGTCCACGATCCTTCGGTTTTGATCATTATAGACATTGTGTTCTCATCTACCCTAGAGCTGGAAGTAATGCTAAATGAGTGCCACTCATATTTGGATATACTTGGTACCTTCACAAATATAATGCTTGTTGGTGTATACTTGAGCCCTGCAATTTGTGGAAAGTGATGTTTCATATGATTTCTCCAATTTTAGAAAACTTCTGGTTAGTAAACAAGGTCTAGAAAAATTACCTGGATCTTTTGGTAGAATAAGCTCTATAGCTTTGGAGGGGAAGATTCGTGCTGAAAGAATGCATGTTTCGGGTCTAGATTGTATGATCCGAAGGAGCTTGTCAAGGCCAAACAGAAAAATTCCAGGGAAAACCATGTAGAAGTGACGGTCTCCAGCATGAAACAAGAAGAATACCAGAAAAACCATGTAGAGATGGTGTGTGTAGTAAAATATTTCAAACTGTTTTCTCCTTAGTTGAGGAAGTGATGTGATCCAAATCACTAACCCTGTGACCAGACAGATCTCCCCAGCAAGGTATATCCGCCCGGTTTTCTGCCATTCCCATATCTGTGATTGAATGAATTGCACCAAAAAGATCAGCAAAACTAAATAATGCCAATACCAAAATAATACAGCAGAGTTTACACTGAACAGAAAACCAAATGATGGAAATGTTCCAAATGAAAAAAGGACTAGGATTTACCTCCTCCTGGATATAGTGGCTGACCCCCCAAACGAACAAAGTGCTTGCACCATGGAAAGTGGCAAAAAATATCATTGCAGTCCCAAGCCATATATGGTATCTTACAGAAGCTTCAAACTGGATGCCAAGCAACCGAAATAAGGCAAGTCCTCTTAATATAGGGAAAAGAAGAAAAGCCAGGCAGACTTCTGCTAACAAACCAAACCGAGTTGCCACCTTTAGGTACTTGAGTTGCCATCTGAGATACAGTTTAAGCATCAATCATAATGAAGTTCTTGTTTCTAAGTGTTCGAAATAGAACATTTTCGGATTTAGAACTCACGAATTCAGCATTAGTGATTTAGCAGGCTTCAAGTTCTTGAAATCATTTGAGATGCGTGCATAAAAATTCCAAGCTAAGAAGAGGATAAAGAGGAAGACTGCTAGTATTTCTAGAGTGGACAAAACACCCAGAAGGGTGTTCACTACCAATGGATTTGAGAAGCCAGCAGTCAATTTCCTCCCTTTTCTGCTATCAAAATTAAAGCACACAACTAAAAGTTAAATTGGCATCTTGAGTGATCATAACCCAATGACATAATAACATGCACTACCTTCTTATTGACTCCCTTGGCTTCAAATTCAAGTAGAATGATCCAATAATAGCCAAAGCAATAGGAGGAAATGTATACACAGCAAAATTAAGACCTGCAAAATATTCAGTATAGTGTTTATCTTTCCCCCATTGGATAGCAGAAAGCAAAACCAGTTAATTCAAAAGAAATCTGAATTATGTACCATAATATCCAAACACTGTAGCCCTTGCTTTATCTTCAGCTGCCTTCCATTTTCTTGTCCATAGCTGTGTTGGCTTCAGAAGCCAAAGAGAAACCCAAGCAGCAAATATTAAAATCGAAAGTATCTTAAGAGCAACCAGAAGAGTGGAATTTGCCATGTCAGTTTCTTTCTAGAGCCAGAACTAGTTTTTGAATTCACCACCACAAGTACTAAAAGGACTTCTATATGAAGGCTAAGAAAAAGCTTGTCTCCACTAGCCAATAGGTGCTTCAAAAGTAGCCCACCATGGCACCACCTCCCAGGAGTGCCTGTCACTTACATATCCCAATAGAGGTACTTAAAGTTGGAAATCCCAAGGAATATATGACCTGTCTGTAATATGAGCTGCAAGATATGAATACGACATGCATTATAAATAATAAATTTTCCAATTAATTATAACAAAAATTTTGGTATTTTTTCTCCTTTGATCACAATAAGAAGGTGTGACACAATGGCTTTGTGAATTGAAAATGAGACATCTTATATGTCATTCATGTGACATTAAAGGGCCACAATCTGGTTTTTTTTATTAATTGGAGCTTTTGGTTTTCTGTTATGATCATCTTTTCTCTGAAAATATCTTCTTTTTTTTAGTACAAATGATAGTCTAAACTACAAGGGAAGAGGGTTTCTTACACACACACTATCACAGTGTCATGGGTTATCAAACCTGAGACCACTAGTTTGTAAGTTGAAACCCTTTTTCATTGGACTCGTTTATGAAAATGGTCCCCTTTATTATATATTGGAATTTTGATCCACCAAGTTCTCTTTGTCTTATTACTCTTGGTTGATAAGATTCGGTTCATTTTGCTGAGGCCAATGTCAAATTTGATGAAAGGGACTTGGAAGGTGAAAGTTTCTGCGTTGAGTGAAAAACATGCCAACTAGCCAACTAGTTGTGTGAGAAGTCACCGAGTTCCAAATCTCCCAAAGGCTAAAATAGGATGATTTTGCATTAAGCAGTTTAGCTTCTTATTCTGCATAATTTCTAACTAATTTGGCACATAATTATTTCTTCATATATATATATATACAAGCTCCCACTGTGGACACTTTGATTTGTTTGACACAAACACAATTTCCATATAGCATCACTGTTTGTGGTCATTATCTAATTCTCCCACCACACAATATGGTATATAAGAGCACTTCCAGCAGGAGGTTCCAGTGGGTTCCACCAACCTGGGCAAACCCAAAGGCAAGACTTGCCTGGGCAAGCTAGCCTAATGCTAACGTCATTGTGACGTTAGCAGCTAATTTAAATAACAAAAAAAATTGAAAAAAAAGGGGGAAAAACTAGAATTTTCAAAAAAAATTTAAAAATAAATACCTAGCCATATTCTTCACTTCTCACACCAAAACTCTATACAAATTTCTCTCCTCATATCTCATGTGAATAGTGGTTGCCTTTGGGTTGCCATGACAATAGGTGGAAAACCACCCAAAAAAATTGCTAGGGCAAGTACTATTCATGTAAATAAGAAGCCTCTTGCCCGAACTGGGCCTCCCAATGGAACTACTCTTATTCAGACTTTATATGATATTTTTATATGATATACATAGCAAATCATCCAGTAGATACGTATGGCCATGATCAGTGCAGGCTTACCAAACAGTGCACAAAATGAAATCATGACAGAATAAGAAGTACCAGAGCTTAAGACATGTCAACGAGAATTCAAAGATGAACTTTAATTCACCCATGTCTAAGAGTTTGGAACTGTTTTCCTATCTATTCCATTCTACTAGTATACCTTCATCATTAGCAACAATTTTATTAGAAAGTTTTAGAGATCACGTCCATGGCGGGGATAATAAGTGAACATAAACTTTATGGCATATCAAAGTAGACCTTTTTGATACTAGGTATATTGGGGGAGATGGGATCGAACTTATGACCTCAAGTGACAGGGTAAATACTCTTATAACTACTTAAACTACAAATACCTTGATCAAAGTAGACTTTAAAATATAACAAAGTGGACGTTGATGCAGGTCAATGAGAGTCTACTAATAAGGATGAACCATAACAATTTAACAGGGTTAAGACTCTTAGTAAATGCGAACTTTATGACAAGGGGGATTTCTCACACACGCACTACAATAGTGATGTGAGAGTTCGAACCTAAAAGCACTAATTTGTAAGTCACAGCCATTTTCTATTAGACTAGACAACGTTAGTAGTTAAAGGGTAACCTTAATTAAGATGTAATGCCTAAAAGATGAAACTATGCTCAATCTGGGCCCAAGAAAAAGTAAATAATATTTATATTTACTTATTCTATTTATTTTAAAAGAGCCACAAATTACCTTCATCTAAAGTCCATGGTTTTGAACTTTTTGAATAAAAGATTTGTCTACTTAGGAAATCCCAATGTAAGCTTTATTTAAATCCTTCATAGCGGAGCAGCAAAAGAACAGAATCCATTTGTTGCTGCAGCTGTCTCTTGTCTGGTCCGTATCTAAACTCCTTGGTGGCATCCTATGACTAGGAAAAGTGTAATTCATTATGTTTTTTTTTTAATTTCATTTTGTAATGCAGCTAATGGTAACCGACCATATTGTTTAATCTCGCTTAATTAATGAAGTGAAAACGATATCATTTTCTTTGCTTTAAGCTAGCCTGTTTTGACGCCAGGATTAGAAATACCAAGTTCAAATGGATGAACAGTTAACTTTTAATTGAGTAAAAACTTTTATTTAGAGCTAAGAAAGTAGTGTTACACGGGTCATATTTATATATATATTTTTTCCCTTTTTGAAAAGAGTGAGCATGGAGTTAAAATAGGCCCGAAACGGGTGCCCAAGCCCGAACAAACAAGGGGATCAAGCCCAAAGAAAAAACAAGAGCTTAAATTTGATTGCTTGTGGATCATTCTATGATTAAGATGGCACCACAATGTCAATAACGTTGGACAGTTGAGGGTAAGAAAAAAGTATATATTGTTGGAAAGGTGCACACTTTGGCTTTTTTTTTTTTTTTTTTTTTTTTTT